CAGGGCAAGAGCTTACTTGTCTGCTGGGGACACAATGGCCAACGGCTAATAAATTTCAGGAGATTGCCCATCTCAACTCTATTCTACTTCTCCCCAGAAGTTCAGGGTAAGGAAGAAGAGCCCGTGACAAATGCTGCTGTTTCTTTGGCATAGGGAATCTAGTTCTGTACACCAGGGGGTCAGCAGCCTTTTATTAACAGTGTGCCAAATTAGTGCAGCTCAATCCTACATCAGGGCATGGGCAGCAGTTCTTTGATATTCCACCACTAAGCATCACATTCTAGTATAAAATGTACTAACACAGATTATATAAACTAATTTTGGCATGCTTGGCAGGCCAGATTAAATCTCTTTGCAAAACGGATTGAGGCCTGTGGGTCCTAGATTGCCAGCCCCTGCTGTAGACTGTAGATGAAGTCAATTCTCTAGAGCAAAAGTAGTTCTCCCCATCCACCTCCCAAGAGGGCACCAGTATGTCCATAGTCTGTACAGACAGTGAAAGAGGATTTGGCAGCAAGCACCAGGAGGACTGCTTTGTGTTCCCAGAGATCTTCTGGCACATGCCAGGGATACTTACCTGGATTTACTATGAAGTCCCATTGTCTCAACTCATAGAGGTGATGTTTACTTCTGGGAAGAAGTTCTGCTGTGGTAACAAATGTCCCTTCTCAAATGAAAAGTGAGTCAGAGACTAGTGTTTCAGTGACAGTATAGTAGGGATGCCAAGACAGAGTTAATACACAGCCAGCATTAAAGAATGTCACCACTGTGATGGAAAACAGACTCAAGAGTAGCCCTAGATGCCATGATGGCTGGTGCTGACACAAAATGCCAAACATGGCCCTCTCCTAGCAAGAGTAGCAGTAGCATGGTCCTTGGAACAAGAAGAGATTAGCACTAAGAATTTGAATTTTGGTGCTTTCACATTCTCACAGAACTATAACAGTTTTGGATTAACAAGCCTTAGAAGAGGTTCTGTGTCCCCTCTTTAGAAAAGGGGATCATTACCTGTTATTTACAACCCATCTTTAGAGTACATCTCTGATGCAGCTGACAAGCAGGATTTATGCAAAGCAGTTCAGAAGGCTCCAGCTGTGTCCTGGCTCAATTGGGTGTAAACTAACAATTAGAGCTTGTGGGAGGAACTTCTAGATGAATAGTTTTCACCCTGGGGGTCCACAAACTATGTCTAAGGGGTCTGCAAAAGAGGGCTATGATCAATCAAAAGTATGTGAACACCCACACTTACAATTCAAAGGAGTCCACACCTCCATTCAAATTTTTTCTTGGGTCCACAAATGAAAAAAGGTTGAAAACCACTGTTCTAAACCTTATGAAGCTTGCATTGATCTTTTCAAAAGGAAGAGCTTCCATTTCACCTCACTCACCTTTAGGATCTTTTTGAAGAATGATTTAAAAATCAAAACAGCACATCAGATCATAGCTCTCCAAACCACAGCAGCCACCAAAAAGTGACACTATTCACAAGCACAGCAGCATTGCAGAACAGGTAATTCTGAAAGCCAGTTGACATTAAGTCTGTCATGCAGGGATATTGTGTGGGAGAGGACCTATATGGAGCAACTGGTAAAGAAAACATACTGACATGACACTAGCAATAACCTACTATTAGCTAAGAGCACAGAACTAAAGGGATCCACCTTGTAGCAAAGAGCTGCAAGAAGGAATTGAGGACAGCTACAGTTGCTCTGATTTTTATGTCTTAATCTAAAGGAATTGGGAGGATACGTGGGGCACAGTCCTACGCAACAGATAGCAAAATTCTGTTCTTCAAAAAAAATCTGATCTCATGCACAAGGGATACAAAAATGCTGAGCATTGGAATCTATGGGTCAACCACTCGAAGAACGGTCATGCTCGTCTACAGGATCCCTTTACCTCATTTTCCTACTGATCTTTAATTGATATATTATACTCAGACAACTCCATTTATATAAGCGTTTTTTAAACCACTCCATAAGTATGGGCAATCCATACCCATAAAGTCATGTAAATGCCTGAATTCATTTGAAAGCTTTATTTTGGCCTGACCTAGGGACCTAGACTTCTGCAGCATGAGCATTCTCAGAAGCAATCCAGTTCAAGAACCTAGGTGCTAAGGATGTTTATACATGTGCTCTGAGAGGAAAGGGGGTGGGTGAAGGGCTTTAATTAGAGCAGCTCTGGATATAGATTTGGAGTCCATTTGGAGCAGTTTCAAAAAGCACCCATCCAAACCTCTGTAATTAGTGCACATCAGAGCAGCCTCGATGCATGTGTATAGGTGCCTTAGAGCGGTGCTTCTCAAAGTGGTGGTCCGCGGACTGGTGCGAGTTGCCAGGAAAGAAAGAAATACATTTTCAGAAGCATAACATTGATATGTCATAGCACCACAGTTCATACGTTCCAACACTCCAGGTGACGTCATGTCGTGCAAGGTGAGAAAAGAGAAAGAAACTGCCGGTCACGCATTTGTGTAGCGCTGTTACACGCAGTTGCTGCCACTGGCTGAACCGGGCACCGGTCCCTGGCCCACTGGAAAACTGCCAGTCCGCCACATCAGATAGATTGAGAAGCACTGCCTTAGAGTACAGACGTATGTGAAACAGACTGGCTTAAATCTGAATCACCGGACATACATACCTATTAAACCCATTTAAAGCTGCCTGGAGCAGTTCAAAAATTTACTTGGAAAATCAAGGATTCCTTTAAACCAGTTCAAAGTTACATGGAGACACCAAGCATTCTATGACATGGGTCTGGTTGGTCCTCCAGGTAATCCACACTACCATTCCTCACCCCCTCCACTGCTGCAACTGGCCATCCTGGTACAGTAACAGAACTCTACTCCTCCCTCCTTCCTCTCCGGTTCTGGGAACTCAAAAGTGGGGGTCCACTGCAGAGTTTGGTCAACCGCAGGTTATTTAAATTTTACTTAACTAAAGTTTAGGAGAAGAGAAAGCAGAAAAGTGAAAAGCTCTCAGTCACAGATCATCTACCTCATAAAATTCCCAAAGTATAAGTGCAAGCACTCCCCACACCCATTCACCCACTGCAAGGGCACGCATGCTGGGCTGGATGCTCATTCTCACTTGCTGGTGTTGGTGCCACAGCACTTTACATATAATTGTGAACCTGTTCCCCATCAGTGACATCTGGGAACAGTTCAACTGTTGTGCGTGTCCACAACTTGAAAGTCTTGTGCTCCAGATCAAGGCTGAAAAGCATCTATACTCTACTAAGTCCCCAGGGAGGTATGACTGTTAGGTGCTAAGGCACACCAACACCACCAAATTCAGTATAAAGCACAATACTCAGGGAAACTCTTGCTTGAAAATAAGGCTGTGGGTGATAGTGCCCAGCTTTTTTTTTTTTTGTTACAATAGCTTACTGTATGGCTGCCCAACTTCTAAACAGATGGGAACTGAATGTCCCATGAGCCACCCCAGCAGGGCTCCCCCTCCATCACTACACCATGCACGTATGCAGATACTGCCCTCCATCCATCACCACACTGCAAGGCCTAGGGCTCACTCTCAGTTCCCTGTGCAGCATCACACTAGGACAGGGCAGAAAGTGGAAACTAAAAGAGGGAAGGGAATCCTAGAGACTTAGGCGGCTATTGCAGCCAGAACAATGGGGGAAAAGGGAGGTAGAAGCAGGGTGGCAGCCAGACAAGATCCCAGGTACTACAATTTAATCCTTCACAGGCCATATGTGGCTTGCAGGCCACCTAGAGCTGGCCTTAGGGGTGGGCAATGTGGGCGATTGCTTAGGGAGCCATGATCAGGGGGTGCCAAACACACACACACGAGCAGCCCAAGCTCACAGCAGCATTCTCTCCCTGCCCCGGGCAGGAGGAGTGATGTCCAGCCCAGCCCAGCCCAGCCTCAGCCACTGGTCAGGAGGAGCCAGGCTGGGTAAGCACAGGTGGGATAGTGCCTGCTCCCATCCACTCCCATCCACACAGCAATGTCTGCCCAGTACACCGTGCTGCTCCACCTCCATGCTGGACTGTGCCCCATGACTGTATCAGTGCCCCTGACCAGGAGGGGGGTGGGCAGCATCAAAACACAAGTCAGCCCAGGGTGCCATCTTCCTAAGGTCAGCTGGGAGGCCACCTGTTGAACAGCCTTGGCTTACAGGTTAGCATACTTGCTCTGGAAGTGAAAGATCTGGGTTCTAGCCTCTCCTCTAGCCTGAAGAGACTCAAACACATACCTCCCACTTCCCAAGCAAGTACCCCAACTACAAAGCTTTATAATAGGCTGCATGTAGGGCACCTTCCACCTCTATTGTTGAAACTGGAAACTCTTGCTTTTTTCTCTTTCTTTCTGTCCTAAGACTGTACAGCCAGGAATGCAAAGGTCAATCTGAAGAGCATAACAGGCCTTTAAGAAGGGACAAGGCCTTTTTCAGCTACGTTTGCTTTACAGTTTGTTGTATGATAGCATTATTCCCCCCGCCTTTTTACATAGTTGCTAATCATATAAATAAACCTATTTTTTATATCTCCGCTAATTGAGAAGGGTAATCCATTTATAAAATGTTTGCTTTTATTTAATCCTAATGCTTGCCTGGTTTCCTAACTAGACATTCAATTACATCGTTATATTGTAGCTACAGAAAATCTATAAAAACAGGTTTACAATGTGCATCAAACTTTTTAAAGCATTTTAAACTTCTCAGTGAATACACAGCTGCTGCAGGCCACTTTTATTGAGTGAAAAAAGCCATTAGCAGCATAACTTTATTAGACTATAAAAATCAGAGAAAAAGAAAAGAAAATATGTAAACAATTATTAAACTTTGCTTTCAACATAATTTGAGAGAAAAGCATCAATGTTTTCAAAGTTGAGTTCAGCAACTAATTACATACCAAAGCACGTAAAGAATTAATCTGATTGTTGGTGGTAAAAGACTTCTACAACTTCTTAAGTCATTAGCAATCATCCACTTAGATGTCTGTATTATTGGAAGATATTAATATGTGAACTAACCTGCAGACACGGGCTGGAAAGTACAGCTTCTGCCAAGATCGACAAAGATATTTTGAGTGATCAATCACACGGATCCAGTCTAGTTCATCCATGGATACCTCAATGTAGTAGGAATATGACCTTTGAATTGTCAAAAATAACAGTTAGAATAAAAGCAGTAAATATCTGGATTCTAACTTCACACAATGCTTTCTGGATGTTAGTACCCAAGTTAAAAAAAAAAAGAATTTTTGCATGCATGCCCATATCTAGTCAGCTATAAGGATGTCAATATTTCAAACTAGCTTTGAAAATAAATTCACGTGTAATCATGGTCGAGATAATTTCAAAACTACTTAAAGTGTCAAAATTCACAATCCCCAGTAATAAGATGAGACCATCTTCCCAGAAAAGATATGATGAGACATTAAATTCAGGCACTGTACATGCCTAAGCCATAAAGAAATAATTTGTATTCCTCTAACACAGGCTAAATTTAAGACCAACACTGCAGTTATTTCTATAGTCACATCAACAAGGAAAATAGGAAGAGATTTAGCAGATCATAAATGCCAGTCTCAAAATCTTCAACAGAGAAGGCAAACTTGCTTTGTATCATGATCCCTGTTTTCATGTATTGTCTCTGTCACTCTTGACCTCAGGTATTTTTTTTACAGACTCTCATTATCAGACGTGCCTGTAGTTATCCATCAGACATTCAAAAACCAAAATTACCACACACCATCACAAACAACACTGTCATAGCCCCAATTGCCCAGTTTAGAAATCTGGCATTTGCGGGGAGGAAAACCCAAGCTAGCCCTGCTTGATTTTAGAACTATCCTGGGCTCACTTCTTCCAGAAGCCCTCCCTACTAGACCTTTGGCACTACATTGCTACATTAGAATGAAAGAGCAAAACCTTGATCTGGGGGCTGAGACAGAGTGTGGAAAGGGGGTGCAGATTGGAAAACAGTCAACTTCACACCCATCTGACAGAAGCTCAGGCAAGGGAGAAAGGGAAGAAGGCTTCTTCATCTTTAGCAGAATAGGAAAACTCCAAGATCCCTTTCAGATTTGTTTAGCTCAGGCAGGCATTTCAGGGTCCCCAGTTTACTTCAAAATTATAATCCTTTTGCAGAGAAATACAACTTTCACAGACTGGAATGGAGTTGAGGCATATTATCATCTTGGTAAACCTTCACTAAGAGAAGATACTCATGATTATGCTAAATTAGAGTTTACCAGGCAAAGAGCAGCCCATTTCCCTTAGATGCAATACCTTTAATCCTCATACCTTTGAAGTGTGGTTACTGGACTTGACTTTGGACTCCAGGAGCCTTAGACTCTTATTTCCTTTTCACTGTGCCTCCTAGACCTTGGTCACTGAACACAAGGGTCATGATAGCTGGTGAAGGGCTCTCTCAAAGCAAGAATATTTTTCTCAGAGCCAATACCAATCCATTTCTACCAGAGTTTCTCTCCAAAAGATGTGGGAACTCAAGCTGCCCTTCAGGCCAAACCCTGCGTTCTCTTCTAAAAGGCTTTACTGTGAGTTAACAACAAGCTCTCTTAACATAGGTGGCAATCTTCACAAGAAGAGGCTCTGAAGAGGACCAGTCAGAACTTCCACCACTTCTCAAAAAGTATGGTAGGAGCTTCCAGTTTTCACCTCACCTTCCAACTCAAACTTCTAATTTGGTTTAATCTCCTAGTCTTGTTAATACTGGTGTTTTCAGCTTTTTGAGCAGGGGTGAGGCAGAGAGGGATTTAAAGTGGTAGTCATGTAGGATAATGAGGTTTGCAAAAGCCTTAAAAGAGTTTGATGCTTTTGAAAATCCTGTCCATAGCAAAGACTAGTTTATCCATCCAGAAAGAAAGTTAGAGGACCTTACCACATAAATGTTTTATGAGCTTTAAAGACCTCAACAACCAAACATGTATTGTGCAGTTCCTAGACATTCTGCATAGTGTACAAGCTGTGCAATGGGCATTAGCAAGCCCATTGGAGAGCAGCTGCATCACATGGTGACCCTATGAGACCCCACTAAAATTATTCACAGCTTGGATAAAGCAATTGCTGTTCCCTTTTCTCTGTAACATGAAGGAATGGGAGAGTCAAATGGTGAGGAGTTAGAAAGCCTAACACCATCTGTACTCTCTGATACCGCAGAGATGCTCTGTTTACCTGTGCTCTTATTTGTTGATTTGAGGAGACCATGTAAAAAGGAAAATTCACCTTATAAATATGGGCCGATTACCACATCAATAACAAAATGACATATATTTTCAGAAGAATAACTTCCCTTTTGCAAAGGCAATGTGGACAGTTATCATTACTAATATTTATGCACAAGATTTATGTGTGGATAAAACACACAGCTACAAATTTTTTCATGAGTGTAAAACAGACACTCACGCGGCCAAAGTTTTAGTGCAGGTACTTTAAAAGAGAAGGAAAGCTAGGGGGTGGAGGTGGGAAAGAAGGGAGTATAAGTTTACAGTGGTATACTGCAGAATAGCACAACATGCCTCTGCAATTGCTAACACATGCTCAACTAGCAGTAAGGTACTGCACCATCTAAGATGATCAATGGATAGCTGACTAATCTCTGGCTTTTGGGTTATGGCTTCAGACAACAGGGTTATTGGGGTGAAAACTGCCATGAATAAACTGAGACAGGGGTTAAGTAACTTGCCAGTGGGGAAATACAGACTGGAAATCAAACATCTAGCTTTTCCCAGAAAAGCAAAAAGAACTTTAAAGAGAGCTGAAGGGGAAGTGTAGGGGTAAGATCTTAAATAATTCTAACCTGAATATTTCTAAAATGAAGATCAGATCAAACCAGGTGGCAAGTCAATCTGGACCAGCGCTGGTTCCTGCCAAAAACTTGAAAGGAACATGCAAAAGACCTAGTGGTAAGTAATTTTGGGATGAAGTGCCTTAAACAAGAAGATTCTTGCTAGTTTCAGGCAGTTAGTAGTGGACTTGCACCTTGGAATATAGGAGGAAATATTATACAAGTTCGTATCTTCTTTAATGTAGCCATAGATTGCTTCATTATCCATGTAACCATCTAACTCTTCTGAATTCTACCAGCTCTTGGTTTGGTTGCTTGATCTCTTGTGACAAGTAGTTGAATACATTAATTATGCAAAGTACTTGCCTTAATTAGCTTTAAAATATAATATAGTCCAATGTTCCCAGTGGGGAAAAAAGAGAAGCATATACTTACATAAATTTTGAGTTAACTTTAGTTTGACCATAAAAATTAAAATGTAAGTAGTTAAAATAGGACTGTCTAACTGGCCTGCAAGGTGTTAATGTGCGACTCTTAGGGAGGCCACCCAGCCACCACTCCCCTTATCTTTCCAGCTGCTGCTTCAGCTGGGTTTTCTAGGGTCCCCATCCTTTCCCTGAATTTTACTTCCTGCTCCTGCCTCCTGCAGCCTGTGCCACTGGGGGAGCCTGAAGCTAGGGACCGGAGGTGGAGGTGCCACCTGCACAAACATAGTACACTGGAAGTGGAGGGACTGCCAGGGAGCCATATGTATTAGTGCAGCAGGGGGAGGTGCAGCCCCCAGCCACTTTAAAGTTAGACAGGCCTGAATTAGTAGGAAAAAAGAATCAATGCATGGTGCTTTGACAAAACAATAACTGGAGCTGATATTATGAGTTTTCATATTACTTGGAAGAATTTCCTCTTCTGAAATAAAGCAAGTTGGTAAAAATAATTCAGTAATAGGATGACAAATTAGTCGTTGTAAACTGTTAAACCTTTGGGCTAGGGACAGACATTACACATAAACCGGTTTATAGTTTCATAGTTGGCAGGGTCGGAAGGGACCTGAGCAGATCATCAAGTCCAACCCCCTACCGTGGCAGGAAAAAGTACTGGGGTCAAACGACCCCAGCAAGGTGTTCATCTAACCTCCTTTTAAAGACCCCCAGGGTAGGAGCCAGCATCACTTCGCTTGGAAGTTGGTTCCAGATCCTAGCTGCCCTGGCTGTGAAGTAGCGCCTCCTGATATCTAGTCTGAATCTACCCTCTGCCAGCTTGTGACCGTTATTTCTAGTCACTCCTGGTAGTGCTCGGGGGAACAGGGACTCCCCCAATGCCTGCCGGTCCCCTCTGACTAGTTTGTAACAGGCCACTAGATCCCCCCTCAGCCTTCTCTCGTGGAGGCTAAACAGGTTCAGGTCCCTTAGCCTCTCCTCGTAGGGCCTGCCTTGCTGCCCCCCTGATCATGCAGGTGGCCCTCCTCTGGACCCTCTCAATGTTGTCCACATCCCTCCTGAAGTGTGGCGCCCAGAACTGGACACAGTACTCCAACTGTGGCCTGAGCAGTGCTGCATAGAGGGGGAGGATCACCTCCTTGGACCTGCTTGAGATACATCTGTGGATGCATGACAAGGTGTGGTTGGCCTTCCTGACTGCGTCTAAGTGATCAGAAACTGGTTTAAACCTGGAACAGAACCGATGTTCAGTACACATAAACCAGTTTGAAAATGGCTGGAACCAGTTTGAGATAAACCTGGTTGAACGTAGTATCAGACTTAACTGATTTGGGTCAAACTGGTTTATGCAATGTCTGTCCCAGATCCTTTGCTGGTTTAAAATAAACCAGACTCCCCGCAAGATTTTGGCATGCTCTCTGGGCTGGGCAGGGCGCTCCGCTCTGCAGCAGCAGGCCCCTCCCCCCTGCTTTCTGGCTGGAGCTCCGACAGAGACTGCAGCTACAGCAAGGTCTGCCTGGCTTCCCCCTCGCTGCTGAAGCAGGGACTCCCCCCTCCCATCTCCCACAGCACAGACCCCAGCCCCATGAACCCTAGGCATCTGGTATGCTAGCTAATGCCAAGAAGTGTTTGTGTGCGTGTCTCCAATTTTACTGGGACAGGCAAACAGATCAGTGACCACTTAGGGCTTTTTGGAGCTAATCAACAGGTCAACTGGTAGGCTATTGTTTTGCTGATGGGGTGATAAACACTATTATCAGCCCCCTGCTGGCTTGCTTGCCTGTCAGTTTGATGCAGACGGTATAAAGAAGCAGGGAGAGGGAGATTGAAAAGCTCCATATCAGTAGATGCATGCACTGCACAACCCCCTTGGCTCAGAGTGCTAGCAGGGGGCTGGCAATACTCCCGCCCCTTGAGCAGCAAGCGGGGAAAAGCCTGGGATGGTACAGGCAGACCTCCCTAATCAGAGGTCCTGCCAGGGCTTGGCCACACCCCTCCCCTCAGCTCAGCACTGTGCAAGGAAAGTGAAGGCTGTTCTAGCACCACCCCTCCCCACCAGCTTTTAGCCTGAGCCACTGGAGGCATAGCTGGCATTTCCTTAGTTCAGAAAGAATGTCTGTGCGGTTACAAACTGGTTCAGTCTAGCCAGGTTAGATTAACCTGCAAACATTGAATCAATTTAATTCAAGAATTAAATTCAAGGGTTGACACAGTCCAGAGAAGTGCCACGCACATGATCAGAGGACAGGAGAACAGGCCTTACGAAGAGAGGCTGAGAGCCATGGGACTCTTCAGCCTGGAAAAGCGCAGGCTCAGAGGTGACCTGGTGGCTGCCTATAAGTACATAGGGTGTACATCAGGATCTAGGAGAACACCTGTTCACCAGAGTGCCCCAAGGGATAACAAGGTCTAACAGTCACAAACTCCTCCAAGACCATTTTAGGTTGGACATAAGGAGAAACTTGTTTACTGTCTGAGTCCCCAAGGCCTGAAATAGACTCCCTCCAGAGGTGGTGCAAGCACCTACTCTGAACTCTTGTAAGAAATGTCTGGATGCTTATCTTGCTGGGATCCTATGACTCTAGCTGACTTCCTGCCCCTGGGGCAGGAGGCTGGGCTCGATGATCTTCCGAAGTCCCTTCCAGCCCTAATGTCTATGAAATCTATGAAATTCAAGCTCAGGCTTGACAAGTGAGGTCAACAATGCAAAAAGACTAGGAAGTGTTGTTTTAGGAGTCCTTAAAAAACTGAAAATAACAGAGAATAAAACTATGTGGACTGGAGTGCTTCTATTAATTAAATGGCTAGCAACCATTGAAGCATCACAATTCACTTTATTAGAAACCTGTTAACAAGGAGAAGACTGTTATTATCACTGGGAAATTTTATCTCCTCACTTATGATTTCAAACCTAGTTTTCATTAGAACGAAATCACTTCATGAAAAGAGTTTGTTCAAACATCCTTTTCCACCCAAATACAAACTTGTGTCATTGTCAGACAACCAGAAAGTGAAACTGGCCAACCTAGAATCACCATCAGAATTGAAGTGAAAAAGTAGACTATGTAAGGTGAGAAGTCAATTGGGCATTTAACATTGTTTTAATAATAAGCTGTTGTTAGTAATACAAACTGAATTAAATATTTAACTATGGGCAAAGACTTAAAATATTGAAAAACAGATCATTTCCAGATATATAAAAGCCTACTTAAATATCATACATTAAATATAGTCATACCTAAATAATCCCCAACCTCAAACATGACATTGAAACCAAGCAACTTCTACTAAATGCCCATTTATTATGAATTTAATCCTAGTATTAGAGCAGGCAGAATACAAACCATATTTATTTCTCTTCCAATAAGTGCGACTCATCACCTACCGGCTATCTCTGTCCCACAGCAGTATTCGTATGTGGTTGATTATTGAGGGCTGACCCAATTTAATTTCAATGCCAGAACGGCAGTCATCATCAATTGGGTGTCGAGAAAAACCATGATCCAAGTCGTAGTTCTGTGTGTCTCCATCTAACAAAGCAGATTTCAGCTCCCCTTTCACAACTTGTGCTCCATATTTCATAGTGGCAATGTTTTCACCTGGTACTAAAAGAAGAAAGTATTACTTATCACTTATGTTCCTATTACATAATTTGTGATGTGTCTGATGGCTATGCAACCCTCTAGACTGCATCAACTTTATATGAACCTTATCCAAAGCCCACCAAAGTTAACAGGAGACTTTCTATTAGCTTTGTGGGCTTTGAATTAGTGCTCCTAAGTAGGGCTTCTCTAATGTGACAAATTTATAGCAATGGATTCCCTATTTTTGCCACAGAATTGTGCCTCACCTTTTATTTTAAAAAACCTGGAGATAATGATCCTTGGCTTCCATTAGTAAAACAATATAGGATTAAAATGCTTTATAAAGATTATTAGCATTTTAAAGAAGAGACTTCTTTAAAACCCTGAAAACATGATTTGAATGCTAAATGATAATGTTGTCATCTTGGTGCTTATGAGCAGTTGACAATAGCTTTCAGATACATGACTTTCCTATTCATCTCAGTGTGATGGCAAATTCAAGAAGTAAAGAACACAAATTTTGAACGTCAACATGTTAACTCTCTTGTGAACATGATAGCAGAAACAATAAGCTAAAATACTGCTGCCACAATTACAGGCAGCCTCCCAGCTTCAATACATGTAAAAAACCCCCAAAGTCTTAACTAGGAATTGATTTCCTATGTCTTTGTACTAAAACTTCATTTTTAACAAGTTAGAAATCATGAGCCTGAGTGCATGCTATCAATTATCACACAAGTAGATTAACAAGGAAAGTCAACAAGTCACATTCAGGATTTGCGAACTTCTGGCTCTTAGTGCTATTAAGAGAATGCTTATTTTTGGTATACTTGGTAAAAGAAAGGAGGAAGGGAAGAAAGAAGGATTGACGCCCCCTTCCCCACCTCATGAACCATGAAACCAGATGACCAACTTCTATGGTTTATAAAGGGTATGGACAAACACACATACAGACGCTTTAAAAGAGGAGAGAGAATTGAGGTTCCAGAGCATGCAGTTACAGTTATACTCTAACCATTACACCTGCATGATCCAGCATTGATGCAAGTGAGCTAAGTTACCTTAATTTTGACCCTGAATGAAGCAGCATTAAAAATGGAAGTTTTGCCTCTCTTCTCACTACAGAATCATGCAGATGAAACAGGTGCACAGTATTTGCTTATATTTGATAACCTTTCATACTGAAATAATTATTACATCTGTCTATACTCAAAAGTGAAGACACAGAAGATGTAGCTGTTGAAAGCAGTTTTCCAGGAAGAGCTCATTCTGTATGATTTAAAAAGCTACAGATTCCCTAAGAACATTCAACCTTATTCTCAACTGCAGGGAAAATATTGTTATGTAATTATTACGCCGCACCACTAAATTATAAGAGGCTTGGCCAATTATGAAGTCAGCTCTAACATTTTATGTGACAGTCTAGTACAGTGGTGCAGGCCATTTCCTGTCACAGCAAAAACAACAAAAATGTTTTCATCTTTCATGCTTAAAATTATATACACAAGGGAGCAGGGACTTATTTTTATTCTGTTTATTATATTGTAAACTAAGAAAGATATGGAAAGAAAACTAGTCAACTGCCCAACAAGAATGACTGGGGGGTGTAGGCAAAGACTACAGGCCTGGGGGCAGGCGCAGGCCCGGCAGCAATGGTGGTGGGCCCGAGCCCGGGTCCAGTGGGGCAGCTGCAGACCCAGTGCAGCAGCCACAGGGTGGTGGCCGTGGCTACCGGTAACCGCCCCCTCCCCTCCCCTCCCTGCCAGCTCTTGTTGGGGGGCAAGGGAGGGGTGCTCCAGCCCTGGCTCCAAAGAACAGATTGGGGAGTCAAGGCCAGTGCTGTTGGCCCCACCCCCCGGTTCCATCCTCGCCATCCCCCTCTGCCTCCAAGGAGCAAGGGGGTGGGAGGGGCCGGCCCCCCCCGAGCCCTCAGTCCCCACTGTCATGGCAGTGCTCCGCTGTCTGTCCTGTTTATCTAGAGCACTCTGATTGGCTGCTGAGACAGCCAATCAGAGCGCAAATAAAGCATTATGGACAGACAGACTAAGGCTTTTATAATATTAGAAGATTCAAATATGAAATTAAAAGGTGGGTGACATTAAAAGGTGAAATACTTGACCATAAAGCTAGTATTAAAATGAGGCAGGTGCCTTTAAACTGGGATATGTGGAGTCAACACATTGTTTTGCTTTTTGTCATTGTGGTACCTCACATAAAAAACAGAAGACAAGTTAGGAAGCTCAAATCTAGTTACACTGATCATTACTCTTTTTGCTTCAGATAAAAAAAGTTTACCATCATATAAAGTAATTTCACATTATCCCAGGTGGGTATGTATTAGTTTAGACCAGGGACAGGCAAAGTCTAGCCTGCAGGCCGCATCCAGCAGGCAGTGGACTCTATTTCCAAGCAGCCCCTCCCCACATAGCTGGGGCCGGTCTCCATGGAGACGTCAGTGCAACTGCAGTTGCACTGCACCCCAAAATTTGCTGCAGTCCCCCATAACTCCCCTCCCAGAGCTGCTACCGCCTGCCCCACGCTGACCTAGCCCCCACCAAGAAAAGCCCAGTGCAGCCCTTAGCCCCAAGAGCGCAGCAAGCAACCCGCCCTTACCCTGTGCACAGATCTGGGGGGCATATGCCCCGATAACTCCCCTGGGGCTGCATGCAGCATCCCCCCTACTCCCCACACAATCTGCCTGTGGCTCCATCCCGTACCCTGCCTCAGCCTGGCTGTGCAGTGCCTGGCCCTGCCCCAGCCCCATTTCCTCCCTCATCATGGGGGTCCTCAATCTGTGCCCCACCCCCACACCCCTTCCCTCCCCCATATCCCTTCCTCTGCATAGATTTACCGGCAGGATACTGCTCTCCAAGCTGCCGAGCTGCATATCGGCAATCGGATCAATATCATCCAGTTAATAACTGGCCATCAATATCAGCACAGAAGATCTTTATCAGCGTACCTATATGTCATTGTGTAACATTCTCCCAATTAGCAGTACGCCACTTATTTAAACTGGCACAGTGCATGGAACAGATTAACCACATGCCCCAAACAAAAGCATGCAAGTCCTTCCCACACAAATTACACAAATTAAGAAAATGCTGATACTCACTTAACATGCCCCTGTAGTTAAGGTCCATGTCTCGACTTTCAGAACGAATTTTAATGGCATCCAGGATAGCATCAGGTGACAGTAATCCAGAAGGTCTTACAACATTCAATAGTTCCGTCAGACTCATCAATGGCAAGCGTACTGCCTGCATGATTTCAGAATGATCTTCCTTGGGGTTATGTTTACACCAGTTCATCAAGGCCTGGAAAATATCTTTCTCAGGAGCTGCAAATGAATCTCTTTGTACAATACTTAGAAGAGCAGCCTAAAAAGAAGAAATACACCAAGAATAAACTTCTAGAATAAAGCTAATATTAAACAGATCTTTTGACTGCTAAAGCTATAGAAATACTAAAAATTACTTTCTTTTTTTCTGCTTTATTTTTATAAACTATATATTTTTCATGGCATTTGTAATAATAAAAGCCTCTGAAATGTGTAAAAGTAAGCTCTGACAAAGAAAGCAAATGACCTAAAGATATGGCAGACTCGATACTTATTTTAAAACCCCAGCCTCCTTACTGGAAACCACTATAAGCAACAGCTCCTCTGGATGAACTGTTGCCAATCCAAAATAATCTGGTGTCCTAAAAAAAGAATGTTATCTTAATTGGCACTTCTCTGATTCAAGGCACAATGTCTTCATTATCACAATCTACTGGACAACATACTTTCATTTTGAGCAAAAGAGGGGTTCTGCCACCTTCTACGTATCTTAAATGTCTAAAGCATATTAAGGCAGACAAGGTTCCTTGGGTGAATCTGATATGTTTTATTAGACCAACCCAAATAGTTGGAGAATAGTTATTAAGCAAGCTTTCGGGTTCAAAAACCCTTCGTCAGGCTAAGGAAGTTTCAGCAGTTGGTGTGTGCTCTTCCTGGATGGAATGAAAAGTAAAGAAGCCAGAGGCTGGGCTAGGGAGTCAGTTGCCAGGCAGATTATAATGTGTCATAAATCCAATGTCTATGTTTAGCCCATGATTTTTAGTATCCAGGAGGTTGATGAAGTGGAGTTCATAGGCTTGTCTCTGGGAAGTGTTGTGTAAGTTTCCTTTGAGGATCAGGACTGAGAGATTGGAGAGTGGTTTTCTTGTGAAAAATGTGCCCCCACCGGTAATTGGGTATTTCTGTCTTTGATAGATTTCCGGTGTGCGTTCATTCTGGTGCGCAGTTGTTGTCTGGTCTCTCCTACATATTTTCCATCAGGGCATTTGGTGCATTGGATGAAATATATTACATTTCTGGAGGTGCAGCTGTAAGATCCAGGGATGCTGATGGCTCTGTTGTGGGGTGCAGTAATTGTGGGGGTGGTGGAGATGTGTTGGCAGGTTTTGCATTTCTTGTCATGGCACGGTCTGGATCCTTTTGGTGTGTTCTGGGCCTGAGGAAGTTTGCTTCTGGTGATGAGGTTGGCGAGGTTCAGTGCTTGTTTGAAGGCTAGGATGGGTGGCTCTGGGAAGATCTTTTTAAGAATAGGGTCTCTGTCTAGTATGGGTTGCAATTTTTTGAGGATTTTTTGTACAGGTTCAAGGGAGGGGTGATACGTCATAA